GGTGCACGTAAACGCAAGAAATCGTGTAAATCGCCGTGAACCATATATTCAAAAACAGCACTAAGCTGTTGTGCACTGAAGTAACAGACACCGAGCAACCGTACTACATTCGGATGATCGAACGGTGCTATCGTACGGATCTCTTCTTCGAAATTCTGCCTCTCCATGGAACTGCTTCCCGCCTTTAGTGATTTCACTGCTACCTAAAAAAAATGTGCATATTTTGGATAAGCTACAGTAGCTCAATCTGGTATGAACAATCTCACGACGAGTTAATAAATTATAATAAAATTTTCAATTCACTCTATTTTCTCTGTCTATCTTCCCCTTCTGAACCGCGTAATTCTTACTAATCGTTTGTAGCGTTAAAATGCAGTAAAAACGCCGGTCTTACCCTTATATTGGCATATGATTGTCACTTGCTTCCTTACATGCGGGGTACTACTGCAGAACAGAAAAGAGCGACAGCTGACAAGAGAAGTTAAAAAGCTAATGAGCTAAAAAAGAATGTGATGATTTTTCGATCCTTTAAGTCGTGAGCACCTTAATTCGGCATCGCAACTGGATATCGCTAACAAAATCGTGCTGTTCGACAATACTTGATCGACTTTCTTTCTCGACATTAACAGTTTAGACACGTAAAAGACATACTCAGAGAAAAAATGTGGAAGAATTCAATTAAGTTTCAAGATTAAGATTACGGTATAAGATTACGGTTTCAAAATTCAAGATTACGGCAGCAACAAAGATTACTGTATTTTGTCACCTCTGTGCAGATACAAGAATTTCATTGCAACAGGTATATCCCATTTAAAAATCACTGCCAAAGATCGTTTTGGCAGGCATATGTAGACTTTACTCAAAGACATGCTGGCAAAACTGCACTCAATAGTCCCAAAAGTTTGTATGAAATCCGTGCTGCTACGGTCTTCTGTAGAGAAGGCTTTATGAGAAAACTTAAAAAAAAAAGTCGAACCTGCATTGGTTCTCCACTAAGAAGCGATCCATGCCAGTTACCGCTGTGCACGACACCGAATTGCCCCTCACCAATCAGATCCCCAATTTGCAGCTGCAATTCATTCAGTTGTAATTTCCACAGGAGCTTAAAAGCGAGCAAAGAATAATTCCTGAAGAGGCAGAATGAACCTGCGATGACTGTATTTCAGGTATTTGATACGGCTCAACAGATGGATCAGTGGAAGGTCTCGGACTGTACTGAGCATAGCTGCCGGACTGGTGATGTTGCATGAATGTGCTGTTGTTGTTCGGTGCTCCAACTATCAACGAGGAGAGCTCGAATCCTGCACTGTTCGGATTTGTAGTTGAAGTTCCATTCAGCTTCCGATAATAAGCTGTATTCACACCACTAAAAGTAATAGAAATAAGCTACGGTAACAATGTTTTCTCTTCAGCGTTTCTCTGTTTTCTGAAATTCATTTGATACTTTCGCCTGAATTGTACAGTTATCTCAGCAGTACAGTGCACTTGCCAGAAAAAAGTAAACCTGTTGGCAACACTGGAGCCATTGCAACTTTGCAAACCATTCTTCTTGATGGATGACGAACAACCTGAATTTTTGCGCTTCCGCCGACAACAACAATAGCAGCAGAACAGAAGTAAACTGAAGATAAGAAATCCAAGACCACTAAGTATCGCCAATTGCCATCTGGATGAGAGACCAGACCACATGTCCGAGATATCGCCAATTATGGTACTCTAAA